CTTCCAGTCTAAAATGGCGTCAAAGCTGCTTGTCTGAGATCTGGATGCTGCTTTTCAGTATGGGTGGATGTAGCTATCAGCTACATGTCAGCACAGGCAAAAATAAATACATTGGGGCACCTCTGGGCTAAGAATGCATGAGAGAGCACTTAGACCTTGATATGATCAACTTTCACCATGTATGTGTAATGTGTATGTGTAAACTTTTCTGGTACCTCTTGATTCTCTGTTACTTTTACTTTCTCTACATTTATGACATCCTCTTCAAAAGAAGACCTGAGAGTGCTTCTGTCACTAGAACAATCCCAGCAACCACAGCCACCTCATAAGAAGGTGCCCCCAAGATCCTGAAAAGTGTAGAACAAAATACTTAGGCCAATACTTTGCAATTGTCCTTCTTTGGAGTCAATAAAACCCTGTCAAAAGAGCTGAGAAGAGACAATGATACGGAGCACCGATGGTGGCTGTAATATTTCTTAGCTGGTGGAAATAGCAACAGAAAAATTTATATGTATGTGTGTGTGTATAAGGAACACAAGGGAGATTTGAGTACAAAACCTTGACAATATAGGTTATTCCTTATCAAGGTAATACTAGCGAGACTAGAATACTCAGCTGAATGCTATAAAAAGTTACAAGGCTGTTACCTTGTAAAGGACCTTGTAACTTTCTCCTAAGCTCCCTTTTTGAGCTTAGTCCAAGCCACAATATGCTTTCCTCTGCAAATTTAGGAACAGCTGGTGAAATTTCCACTAAGGGCCAATTAATGGGCACACAAATAGGTACTCTGTATTGTGTTTAAGCATCAACTAAAAAAAAAAAAAATAAAGAAAAAAAAAGATAGTAATATGTTATAAGTTGTTGAATGCTGTAACTTGTTATGTGATTCCTCTTTTGCATTGTGTCACCACTGCTGTCATTATCAAGATAGAACAACGAAGAAATACTTTGGCAAGGTTTACAAATTTTGGTGATGATGGACCCCACTGTTCACAGGGCCATCCCTGCTAGGCAGGGGAAGTCTTCCCCTCACCATTCTTAAGACCAAAAAACACAACGCAAATCCTGAGCTTCATAGCCTCCTTAGCCTCCTGCCACCTTCCATCCCTCCTGAGCATGTTGTCATGCATGTTTCCATAGGAGCAGCAGGACAGCTGTCCAGTTCTTTTATTCATGGTATAACAGTCTGAGGCAACTACAGTTGTCTGCTTGATGGCTCAGAGTTCCTGTTATCCTCATGAGGGTGACCTGCTGTCACTCATGTATTCAACAGCACTCCATCGAGCACTCTGCTATCTTCTGTGCTGCAGTTAGAGTCGACAGAGCTCTTTCTTACCCTTTGTTCGCTCTTCAAAAGAAGGAGAGCCCTCTTTCAGGGGAGTGGTCTGTGAGACCCCACACAGCCCCATCATTTAGCCAAGATGAATGAAAATTATTCTTGGAGCTCCTAAGAGGGCAGTGTATGTCTTTGAGAACACTCTGAATGACAGTTCTTCAGATTTGATTTATTATTTTATAAACTAAATATTTTCATTCTGTCTCTTCTATCCTACTCGATGTAGAAATATAGCTATTCCTGGGAAGACCCAGCCAATGTTAGCAAAGGTATATCCTTCCGCACTTATCCTCCCCCCACTTCAATAATATAATCTGGAATACAAACCTCTGCTGGGACATATATTCAGGGAGACATATAGCTCAAAGTTTCTTCCTTGTCAGTGAATATGAGCAATATATCAATGTTCTGGTACTCAGAGCTGCCAGGCAGGGGTGTCCAGGTGCTTCTGAAAAATAATACTGCTGTGTCCTATGTCAACAAGTAAGGCTGTGCCAGTTCTCCCTAACTTTTCAAGGAAAAGAGCTGCCTTGTGGGATTAGTGCAGTTATCCATGATCTGTTTGTCAGGTACTCTGAGCAGTCAAACAGACCAACTTCAGTTGCTTCAAACTGCTAGACCATGACTAGAAGGTCTAGACAGCTGTCCTAATACCAGTATTTCAACAGTGGTCCTCTTTGTGTCACAATCTAACAACAAATGTCAGGCTTTATGTACCAGATAACTGGGTTTATCTCTGTAAAGTTACAGATTTTTGTGGTTGGACACCCTTTTCCCATTTCTTCTCTTCCTGAAAGTATTTTTCCAAGTAAAAGACATAGTTCAGGCAATACTGCTGGCCTTAGAGACTAACCCTTACTGTGCTGCTTACAAAGAATCTCACATTGAGTGTCAGACTGTGAAAGAGTGCTTTTGGGCTGTAAAAAGAACCTATGTTTCTTTTAGGGCCTCCCCCAAAACTGATCACCCTCTGGGATGTTCTAAAATTCCCATTTGAAAAGCATCCAGATGGGGTCCCATTCACTCTTTTACTAAGCCTTACAGGTTTATTGAAGTATCTGGGAGCAGTACTATGTCCAGAAGAGCTGTCTGTAAGAGAATCGTCTGCCAGATATATTTTCATGGGTGCTGCACATGGACAACCAATAAGAAGAGAAAGAATGGCTGCTTGTTTTTTGCAGTTTTTCTTGTAAATATGTGTATATATTTTAGGCAATATGTCTCCAATGCTTCCTCCTTACTCCTCTTTCCTCTGTAATCTAATTGAATATATAGCTTCTTAGGATGAGAGGAGCTGAAATGACTGGCTGTTCCACCCCTAATTTTACCATATATGCAGCACAAGAAGAGAGAATGAAGGGATGTTTCTAAAAATAATGCCAAAGTAAAAAGAAGAAAAAAAAAAAAAAGACTAAAAATGCTAAAAACGCTGGCATAATAGTTTCCAGAGTGTTAATGCAGGCAAAGGCAATGAATTTCAAAGAACTGCTACAGTTCTGTTTTTATCAAACTGTTCAGTTCCCACAGATCCTACTTCCACCAAAGCTAAGAGGAATTCTTTCAGCAGGAGTAGTGCTAGTCTTGCAGTGCTTATTGTGGACTTTGATCCTGCTGATGTTTATGTTTAGGAGTAGGCATACTGGGCTTGTGCGTGAAGTTAATCACCTGCATGAATGCTTGCAGATAGACTATCAGATTCTGATCCTAGAAATATGCACGCTTGAACTCAACTTCAAACACAGCAGTGTTCAAACTGAGTATGTTTTCTGTAGTTGCAAAGCCTCCTGGTGAAGGAGGCTATCACCTGCACTGTGCTTTGAATTGGGTCCTTTACTTTCTTCACTGGCTCATACTGTGGTGTGTAGGGTACTTAGGTTAAGCTCATCTTCCTAAGGGGAAAGAGGAGCAAAGTTACTTTCTCATGCTTTGATCCCATTTATTTGTGTGTGGCTGCATATGTAATTTTTGAAAGAAATTATAATCTATTAAACATGCAAAGCCTGAAAAAGTAAATTTACTCTTCCTGAAAGTGTATCTCAGTTTAATGACATTTCTAATACATGGCTTATATATTTTTCATAATTTTATGTCAACCAACTTTTGAACAATGAGATTGAAATTACAAATGTGGGAAGACAATATTATCATATTCAAGAAAATGTGCCTACTCAGCTGTGTAAAAGGATACATACTGCCTTTAGCAAATAATTTCTGAGGCTTTTCAAATAAAGTGGTAAACTGGTAAGGATGCCTGTCAATCAATGAAATAACCTATTTTATGTACAGATAGGATTTTCTTGTGATTTTGATTAAACAAAATGTACATTAAACAAAGCAGCATGACACCGTATGTGTGCTTTTTTTACTATTCAAGTCTTTCTGAGCTATTGGCATTCTTGAGTCCCAGTCTGAGGTATTTTCTTCAGGAATATGCCATATAACCCTTTCTACCATTGCTTCCTTCTACAGCAATAAACATTGTGTTTATCACAGTAATCGGAGAAGGAAATACTAACTTTTACTCTTATTCTCACTGGTTTGCATGCAAGGAGGAGTCATAGGCACAGTCCTCTGGCCTTTATGATCTTCTAAATGTACTTCTTGTTGAGTGCCATTTTGTTCTTATTGCCCACTGCTCACCAACGGCTTTCTCAATTTCGTCCTGCCTGGTTTTTGAGAACCATCATCTAGGTATGAAGAGACTAACAATGAAAAGGAAATTAGTAGCTGGCGGCACTGCATCAGAAAAATTATTATTCTGTTATGACTACAAACAGTAGCATCAAATGTGAAAAGTGTCTTTCAAATTAATTAACATTTAAAGGAAATGGGTTTGGCATAATTATCATATTGCTTTTAAACAGCTATGTTTACAAGCACATCTCTGTTTTCTATTAAGTCCTTGCTAGAAAAAAATAACAAATAAGTACATGTTTTGAGTTTTGAATCTATGTTCATACTTTTTTACAAACAAAAGCTCAGGAGAATAAAACCCCAATGTTATTTCCCTGTTCCTCACAGCTCCAGTGAAAGTGAAATTTGCCTACTCTTCCCAAAGGCAAAGAGCCTTTTATTGCTCCTATGTATGTGGGGGAATAAGCACTCTTTTCTCCATCACCCATACTGTGACTCTTCTGACATCCCTTAGGTGAGGGATCATTGAGTAGACTGTACCAATAGCCTGTATACATCCGCTAGGACACCTCTTTGCAAGCACAGTGAGGCTATTTCCAGCCTATTGCAGCTACAAATGGATGTAAAGAGACCAGATCTGATCCACTGCTCATTGCTCCTCATACCTTAAACACTATTTCACATATCTTTTCTCTTTTTCCCTCTAAGCCTATCTAGTGCTTACCAAAGTGACTGGTATAAGTGATCAGGATCACAGAAGCTGTGCATCAACTTTTTGGGAGCTCAAAGATTTCAAATAATCTGAACACCAAAAATATTAAATCTTTTATTACATCCCATTTTCCCTTGAGCATTCCAACTCTGCAAAAAAATAAATAAACAAATCATTCTTTATTGTCTTCTTCCTGCAAGGATGGCAATAGCTGGGAAGAGAAAAATAACAAAACTTGAGCTAGCTAGACTGCTGTTATGATAAATGAGTAATCTTTGCATATTTGCATCTACTTTGTTTAATATTTTTCACATACAGATATTTCATCGATTGGAAGAATGATGTGGACAGCTACTTTATAATAGATGCTACTGAAGGAACCATTGCTACTAATGAATTACTGGACAGAGAAAGCACAGCACAGTACAATTTCTCTATAATTGCAAGTAAAGTTAGTAAGTATGACACAAACTGAATTAATATGTTAATGTATTTTTTTCAGAATTTAGTGCTTAGGCATAAATATGCTGTGAGGAGTGCATGTATTGCCAAGAGATTATTTAAGAAGGCCCAATAAATATCATTTTGCCAGACTCACTGTGAGTCTGTGTGATGTCCAAACAGCTCTGTATAGTAAGGTTTTTCTAGTAGCCCTCATGTAGGCACTGCTCTGTCAGATGCTGAAAAACAATCTGTCAACACAAAGAGCATGAGGAGCTGTACGAAGACCTTCCAATTCTTATTTCTGATTTTGTAATTCACTCCACATGAAAGTAGGTTAGTCAAATAACAGGTCTGCCAATCTGTTTTTTGAAGGTAGAAAAATTTAAAGATTCATTGGATCCTCAGACAAAAAGTACACTAAGATTTAAGGCCAGAAATGAATCAGTGTGCTGCATCTCTGCTCTTGTGTTGTCTCTCTGCCCAAGACTTCATGCCTAACCACTTGTTTTCTTTTCCTATACAATTTGTGGTGGAGGGGTTTTTTTGTTTCTTGTCTTTGTGTCTTCTCCTACGTAGCTTTCTTTTTTACAAGAACTCCCTTCTCCCTCTGTAATATGTAGCTGCAGCTTTCTTCATTGCCATCCTTCTGTGTAGCATTCCTCCTTCATGATCCTGTCAGACTGAAACTCTCACAGGCATATACCACCCTTTGAATACAAGCCTTTTGGTCACTTAGCAGTTGTGTAAAGGCTGCAGAAGTTGTTCTGTTGACATCAATAGGCTGTAGAAGAGAACCCCTGCTGTATTTCCTATTCATTCTGTATTGTTTATGTGTCCAGAAATGCAAGTTTCTAAAGCAAAGGGTATGTTTTCCTCATTGTATTGCTTGGCATTGAGTCTTCAAAAAATAATGCGTGTTACTAACAGGAAGAGGGGGATTTTGGAAGCAGAGAAGGTATACATTATTTAAAAATAAAAAATAAATTCTTAGTTGTAGTTATCTCAAAAATAACCATGGCTCACTCCCTGGAGCCTGAAAATACAATGAGGACACCAGTCAAATGAAAACTTGAATTTTATCTGTAGCTTGGAAAAGGAATACACTAACAGAGGAAACTAATCACAAGAGATTGAGTATATGGAGATACATGTGCATGTACATGTTGACAGGAAGTCCAGCAGAACTGTAATTTGTTTCCAGAGAAATTGAAAGGCAGGTAGATGCAGAGGAGAATTCTCATAATGATCTACGTTTCAGTAAAGCTGAACTATTTAGATTTATTGGTGGACAAAGAACATTTGAGATTTGTAATTTTTTTCTGCAGTAAGCCAGCAGTTTTAGTAAAATTTGTGTGAGTCTGTTTATTACTCCCAAGAGTAATTAAAAGTAGCTAAAACCTCTGAGCCTACTTGTCTGTGCACCTTCCCCAGCACATACATAGTAATATCATGTTTACGTAGAGTTGTAACAGGTAGGCTATATTATGAAATGCCCACTTTTAACATCTGCCTAGTTAAAAGTCTACACCTAAGACATATTTGTGATTCATTTCAGCATACCTCAATATATTTATATATTGACCATTATCCATAGCATTAAAAACAATTGCCATACCAGTACTACACCCAAAAATGGCAATATTTTGGAGGATTTAAGGTATACTAACTGTCAAAACTTCATACACAGTTGTCTGACTAAGAGCTAGCACAGGAATAAAGGCTGGGATTTGAGGGATGACACACTGCACACAACCAAAAAAAAGTTAGAGGTGAGAACATCTGAAGAAAAAGAAGGGGGGGAAATTACTATACCTGAAGAATTTCTGCAATTAAAAAATTTCTACTTGTTCACTGCTGACACAGAAACACTGAAACCTCCATCTTTTATCAGTGAAAAAGTGCACTGAACAGTGCCTTGACAGTGCCATAGTTACCCAAAGAAAGTGTCCAGTATTGCAATCAGTTGCACAAACTTGCCTCAGCAACGGACACTATTGTTGCCTAAGTATTTTCAGTTCTCTATGACCTTATCTCTTTAAAATAAACAGACTCCAAACTAGTAATAGGCATTACAAAATTACTTAAATGTTACTTAAAAAACTTTATTGCTAAAATGTATATTTTGCTTTCTCACTGTGAGAGAACAACAAAAAAACCCCCACCTTTTAGATATGTCCTAATGGTCATCCTGGAAATTATCTTCTCTTGAACAGGCCAATTATAAACAAAGACCACCAGATTTATCCCCATCAAGTCAGAGAGAAAAATAAATTAAACTGGCTTTGCCATCATTTCCCTATATGTGGAAAATGATGCCATCGTGAGCAGGCTTGCATGAACTCCCTGCCTTAGCCCTGGGGCCTTCTGAATGATTTTTCCCCTTTGTTCTTCTGTACTTTCAAAATATAACCCTGTATGAATCACAGATAATGCTTGTGCTACATTTTTTCTCACGGGCACTAAAGTCTTGAAGTAATATTATTACTTTTGAGCAATCACATTACCTTTCAAACAATGGCACAAATGGCATGCAGTTTAGATAGCTAAACATCGCAGCAGGAAATTGATAAATGAAAATATAGATATGGATGTATCATTCAGACTTTTCTTACAAGCTGATAAATCTGACTATTAGCACTAAAGCACCAGAAGTTATAATTTTTAAAGGATTAAATTTCAAAAATGTCAGAATTACCTTGTGTTTATTAAAGTAACCTTTGCTGACATCACCTATTGTGGGGAAAAAAAGTCTTGTTCAAAAGCCTGGCTGTTTGGGAATTTGTAAATGGTTTAATGTGCAATGTCCTCATTCTACATTTATATTCATATATATATATATATATACACACACAAATATATGTATTTACACTGAGATTATTCTTCCCTAAACTCCAGGTCCTGCCCCTTCATCTCTGCCTACACTAGACATAGTGCAGGTTGGCAGCTTAAAGAGAGGTAGAACTTGGACCTTTAGCAAACAGTTAATTATGAAATCTTCTTGTCCCAGGCTTGCTTGTGTCAATTTGTACACTCACAGCCAGGGAAGTCCTGGTTACCCAGCAATAACATAATGTATCTTGTATATGGGCAGTAGATGCCATTTCACCTAGAGAACTGGAATAAGGGAAGTTATTCTACCCATGTTATACAATGACCAGCTCTGACCATGTATTATTATATTGTGATCTTTATTTCTAACCCTGAAAAAAATTCCAAACATCTGATCTAAACACTGTCTGTGAATCTGTCTCTAAATAGCAACACAACTGACTCCTGAGAACATCTTAGATATGTACCCAGTGGGGAGTGATGGTTAGCCTACTGTCATGTTTAACACAAGACCCTGTAACTTTATTCTCACCCGTGTTAAAGAAGCCTGTCCCAAAGTAGAGATCTTTTTAAGTGGGAAGTGGATGATTGTTCCACTGACACATGGATGATGACACAGACCTGAAGGCAGCTGAATGCAGAAGGTCCTTTAACCATCTGTAGAAATAAAAAAATCAGCCTTTATATAGAACAAAGTGCATGAACAAGGAGGGGATGTTTCAGATTCACATTTTTCCCCCCAATTTCATTTCCCAATTTCTCCATAGTTCTTTTCATTCCCTGACTATATTTCACGGTAGGTTTTTTTCTTCTTAGAGTAAATCAACACCCTAGTAGCCTTCATGGTTGCTGTTTCTGAACATTTTTGATCCCACAGACTCTGTCCAAACTAATAAATTAAACACAGCTTGCATTTGTTTCAGGCACAAAGGCCAGCTGGCACTGAGCAGCCCCTATTTCTATGCCATTAAACCTTCCAAACAGGCTGTCCACATGTAAATTGATTCTTTGAGAGTGGTCCCTCACCCATACTAAATCCCAGCACATGGATGGAAATTGTCTGCAAGCCCACTAGTTGCCCCAGGCCAAAACCGTGCCAAGGGCTGCTCTAAGAACATAACAGTATAAAAAAACACAATCCAGTGCTCAAAAAGTTCCCCAGCATGCTGCTTAATTACCTAGTATGGAAATGGATTTTGTATCTTACAAAAAAGGAAATAGATAAGAACCATAAGATCTTATTTCTGCTTTCCATTCCTCAAGGTGCTAGTTAAAGTCAAATAAAAAAGTTAAAAGGTAAAATAAATATAAAGTAACCATAATCCATCCTGTCCAAACCATCTTCCCAACTCCTCTAACTCTAGGCTCAAGTTTTATGAATGATAAAGAAACCTCAGCTTAAATCTCAAAATGGGTTTTATCTTCTCCTGTATACCATAACTGGGATTAAGGAATCATCAGTTCTCCTCAATGGTCAGTAGCTATTTTCTCAGATATCTTGGATTTTCACAAATTCATTAGCTAAAGTGTATTTTCTACTACTGTAATATCCTTGAACCACAAAGTTGTTAACAGATGATGGTACTTGAGCAAAAGAAGGTAGCAGGGTTGTCACTTTCTTACAGACCAAGAAACTGAGGAAGGAAGAAGCTGATTAATTTGCCTGTATCTTACAGGCAGAATTGAAATCCGAAATCAGTTGCTTAATTCCTAGGCTAATGATTCAACCAACTTGTCTTCTCATCTGTGCAATCTGGGTTTAAAAGGCACGAGCAGATGTTTTCAGTGACTCACTCACTGACACCAGCATGCACGTCACTGCTACACTCACAAGGCTCAAAAAGATTATAATTTGAGATCAAGAGCAAATAAAACAAAAACAGAGAAAATGGAGGTCAAGTCTGCAAAGTGGTCTTTGAAATGCAATTCTTCATCCTTGTTCACATCTAGTATTACAGGTCTTTGCAATTATATATGAATTCAAAGCTGTACACAATCTTCTTTCAGTCTTCCTTTATAGACTTATGTAGTTAAACTGATATCAGCACAAACCAGAAAGAAAATTAATAATGTAAATAAAGTGAAGCACAGAAGTAGGTCCATCTTATGCTGGAGTAATTCTGTTTACTTTCATGTTTCATTTTGCTGGCCATTTATGCAAGGTAAAATTCTACCTTGCTAAAATGCTTAGCAAGAAAAGATTTTGGCCACTAATATATCTTTCAAAGAATCATAGAAAATAAATCACAGACCATCACTGAGAAAGAGATGTAAAAAGTATATTCATATTCACATATATTTGCAAAGCATGTTATCCTATCATGATTTTGAGGGAAGGCAAAATGTCAAATCCCTTTGTTAATTTAAAAAATATACAGTCCCATAATATGTACACTGTTCCAAAAAGCTGAAAAAGTAATTTATGTAAGATACTTCAAAAAATATTTCCTAAAAAGACTTCTTGCAGAAACTGATGTTTAATAGAAATTATCCAAATCAGCTGACATCTCCCACATACATGATGCATAAGTTTTGAATATTTTCATTCTTTTACTGGAAAGGCATTGTTAACATATTTCTAAGAGGAAACAAACTAACATCTATGCCTGCACTTTCATGGCAGCGCATTAATCTCTAGTATGTTTTAAGAATGTATCCTGAACTCCTGTTTTTCAATACCTCAAAATAAACACACAAAACCTAAAGGAAAACTTGAGTCATTCCATGTGAGTTGCCGTGTTCTTTGCAGCGGGTACTGCTAGGAAGGAAGTCTTAAATTAGGTTGTATCTGCCAGCAACTGCGTGAACTTGACCTATTCAGGGCTTTTCTGATCTCTGTATATATTCAGAGTCGGGGTCCTGTCCTCTACGGACTAAAATGACTTCTTAGTACTTTTTTGTTTCTTGTTATACAAGGGAACCAGTTCAACTGTGAGCGAGTGATCTAGATTTCTTCTAGTTCTTTGGGCATATAAAGAACCACTGCCTAATTCCCAGCTGTTAGACCAACCTGTCTTCACTGATACTGCATGATGCCTTTCTCCACAGAGACATTCTGCAAGTAGGGATGACATTGCACTGGAAATCAATGAGGATTAAAACAGATAATATTGGATACGGTCACTATTAATTAGATACGTTCATAGGAAGGAACTATAAATATGTGATTGGGTAGTGGACTTTTGCAGGGTTTTTTATTAGATTCCAAGCTGAGTTTCTGGGATGGTCAGTTTATCCACTACTTGTAAACAGGTAAAGCACACTACTACTTGGTCCTACTTTTAACTAGGAAATCATTGAGGGATAACTTTTGGCTTTGACAGAGGCCTCTTGAAAATACTTAATTTAGTAGTTCCTAAGAACAAGAAAGAAATAATGTAAAATTTCTACAGTGCCACCAAAAAGAAACCGCCCCTTGCTGTGTTAGTTATTAACAATAGAAATACAAAGGTTTATACAAACTACGAAGTAAGAAACTAATGCAAATAATTCAGAGGGTCCATTTATATCTGAAGATTCAAGAAAACTGTTCCTGTACCTAACCATGACCCCATGCTGTCACTCCTACATCACCCTGATTCATAGCATAAATTCCTTGAATAGTTAACTGTGTCTGTATAGTGTCTGCCACTCTTCTTAAATGCAAAAGGATAAAATAATTATCATTTTGACTCACCAGATAGACTGTTTTTTATATATCTGCTATCTTGCAAGGGATCTCAGCATAAAGTCAAAGAGAATATTTTCTGCTGTGTATTGAATTTGTGTCTCTTTTCTGTCAGACATGGCATTTGCAGGTAAACTTGTTTATAAAATGCATCTAGTGACTGATGAAGATTATCTGCATTGGTGGGACATTGGAAAGAAGCATAATGTATACATTTTTTTAGCATTTCTTTTGCACAAAATATTTGCTGCTTGAAAATACTTATGCAGTTAAAGAAACAACTGTTACAATGTAGTTAAAAGGTTTAACCAGAAGTTGAATGCTAGCTCTGCGTGTTTCACTGTTAAGTTTTCCACTGACTCTATCTGGCTTTCAGCAAGATTTTTCTTTATATCTTTTTCTCTTACTTTTCTCCATCTTCTAAATGGGGATGCGACACTTTCCTCCTTAATATCTTGTAATTAATGTAAACAGTGGCTAAGTAATAAATATTGATTTCCTGCATTACATCGTGGAAAACGGAATTCAGTTTTAAACATCATTGGAAGCGTTTTCCACAGACTCCATGAAAAGTGATCTGAGAAAAGTTTGCATCTTTAATTAAAGGTACAACCTCAAGTTCTTTAATTTATGCTCTGATAAACATAATCGTCTTGACTGATTCCTTACTCCATGAAGAGTAATGGATCAAAGTCTGGTACAAAATGATAAGTTTGCTTTTGATTTCTCCTTAGTACAAATCAGTAATAAACAGAAGTCAAGGGCTTTTAGAAGTCACAGTACTGGGATCAAAACAGTTTATGATGGTTCACAGGCACTGGTGATGATGACAAATACAAATTGTATTCCTTAATTCTTTTTCCTAAAAATCATTTATAGGTAACCCACTATTAACCAGCAAAGTCAACGTTATAATAAATGTCCTGGATGTCAACGAGTTTCCTCCTGAAATTTCAGTTCCATATGAGACATCTGTATGTGAAAATGCCAAACCAGGACAGGTATTTCAAATTTGTAATGCTTGCTTTTTTGCTTTTTCTTTCCTTATTATTTATAGCAAAAGAAATTTCTGGGTTTGAAAATGACATCATGCTTAGAATTCTTTTACAAATAAAATGTCTGTGTTAAAAATACTCACCTTTTGAATTTCTGTTTGTTGACCTTTATGGTCTACTTATGGTCTATTTATTTTTATTACCCCTGATTATAGGGGCCTGAACCACCCTTTACTGTGGTGGTTTAGCAGCTGACAGGAGAAAGAGTACCTTCCTTAAAGACACTTAAATATAAAGGTAAAACTGCAGTGGATAAATGGAGTAGGATGGATTACGCACATTTCTGTGTCCTATTCTGAGAAAAAGAACCCACAACCCCAAAACCAATCCTTTTGAAAACTTGCTTTTATAAGGGGTTTCTAATATATACATACCATGCAAAACCTATTTTAGATTCAGAATACCACTTTATACCATGAGTGATGCCAGTATTAATAGAGCTGGCCCCAGAAGCTGCTGGCATATGCTCCTTCTGCACAAAATTTGTGCAATTAAACACAGTGCTGCAAAGCACCAAGGCCAACCATCATACATATTAACAGCTAACACTGTTTCCAAGACAGGACTCATAACTTCAGCCTACTGTGTAATCAGTGCCTTCTCTTTATATGTATGTAATATGTAATCAGTCCGTGTGATTTTTATTGCCTTTATTAGAGATTTGTCCACAACTTCATATGATATTCCTATATCATCTTTTTTTTTTTATATATGTTTCAACTAACTACCATACAACCCAATTTAACTTCTAGTTTATCAGATACCTTTAGTTAGTACCTTATCCAGACACTAACAGTAGAAAGGGGAACCTTTTACAGGGAAGGCTGAGATAAGCACTGACCTGTCAAAAATTATAAATATTTACACCTCTGTTCCATAAAAAAATTCCTTCCTTTTAAAAAGATTAGTGGCAAACCTACTATGAAACATTTTAACTGCTCTATGCTTACCTGAAATCTAATAGATAGGACTCTGGGACCTAACAGTTCCTTCATGCCTAGATGGTGCAGACCTTTCAACCATCTCTACTTCGTTTCAAGCTGTAAAATTAGGATGCAGCTTTGTGAAGTACTACCACATGTACCAGTCATATCAGTGATAGTAGTAGGAGCAGGTAAAGTGAACTGTCTTTACATAATCACTCACCTGAAAGCAATCAAGTGTTTTGATACAAAAAACAACTATTAAATACTTCTGCTATGAAAATAGTGTAAATCTTTCTGATTTCCTTCAGATATGTCAAAGCGAGACCTTCTGAGACATCATGAGTCCACTGGAGGCTATGGTATTCAGACTTCTTGCCTCCACCGTCCAATATATTAGGGGAATGAGAGTAATCCAGCAGGATATCACTTTCATTGTTTCATTTGATGCACTTCTACACTTCTACTTGCACTCCTACAAGACTGCTTCTTTTAGAAGATTGAACTGATTTCAGAATTAATTTTAATCTGGTTTCAGGTGATACAGACTGTCACTGCAGCAGACAAAGATTTGTCACCAGCTGGGCAGAGGTTTTCCTTCAGACTGTCAGCTGAGGCTTCCAGCAAACCAAATTTCACAGTCCATGACTACAGAAGTAAGTTGCTTACCCATATCTCTCTTTCAGAGCAGCAGACTGTGATTATAATGACAAATATGATTACTTTGTACTACAGTCAAGTCTACAGACTAACTTGTTTATTTGACATTTCTAATTGTTAAACTGTCTAGGACATATATTAATATAAATTCAGGTCTTGCACCTTTTCTCATTTTGCCTGCAAAAACACTGCTACCTGTTTTATTTTCTTCCTTTTATCTTTCACTATCTCAGGAAGAACTCATATGCCAATGCAGGTATACCTTTAAACAAGGCACTATTGCTGCCTTGTTTAAATATTATTACTTTGCTAACTGTTTTCAAAGTACCCAGCTATTGTGCTTTCTGGAGGATGCATAGTCCTGCAGAAGAATTAGTTCTAAATATGGAGAGTGCTGCTGCAGCATAACATCCCACAACACTCTTAATTTGTAGAAGGGATCTTTTTTTTCTTTCATAAACATCTTCAAGCATGTAGTCTTGTAAACAGACACAGCTAAAACATCAGAATAAACTGTAGCAAATTTTCATCACTAATTCCTTTAATCAAATAATTACCTTAATCACCTATGTAGGTTATAAATATTACTTTTAAGGAAAAGTATATAATTCTTATTTTTTATTAAGTTATTTATTTATATTCATTAATATTTTAAACTTAAATTTGAGATTATACTGAGCATGGTGTAAAGGTTCCTTTCTTGAGAATTAAGTAACCCAAGCCCTAGAAAGGACTAGAGCTGGATAATACACAGAATGAAAAAAAATTGCAGAGGTCACTTATTAGCCTTTTTAAAAACCATTTAAGTATATGACTCACATTATTTTTGAAGCCATACACTTTTGTCAATGTTAGGTTATACAAAATTAAAGTCAATAAAATAAGCACAGCTATTAATCATGATGATCTTTATCATTAAGAAATTTCAGGAAGAAGATGACAAGACAAAAATGGTTTATTCCCAAACTTATTAGTGACTTTTATTTTAGTATGTCATAGATAGCTAAAACATTTTACAGACGAGCAAAGAATTTCACTTAATGATTTGTAAATACAGTACATAATGAAACCATAGTAGCTCACAGTATTGCAGACATGAATAATAGTAACTTATGAAACAAAAAAAATGTCGATCAGCATTTTATCAGAGGCCATTCAAACCGTTTTCTTGAGACAGACAGCTCAATGAATATGAAGGACAATGTTACAATGGATTCAAATCCCCTTACTTCTATTCTTGGAAGATTAGGTTATTTCTCTTCTCCAGAAATGCTTAGTCTAAACAGGTTGGTTTTAACAGCTACTAGTATTTAAAAGTGTTGTGGCATTTCAGTATCAAACTATAATTTTGCCAAGAAACATTCAAATGCTTTACAACTGTGTCCCACTGGACTTAAAATTTTGGATAATGCTTAAGTCTGCTTCCTCTTAAAGTTGCACTTTAGTTTCTGTTCTTTTCTGTTCCCTACTTGGCTAGTCACAGTATTTCCTTAGAAAACTCAGTATGATGAACTTTGTTAATGATTATAATTTAAAAGCAAAAAAAAAGTTCTCTATATCTTAACAGGAGGAGGAAAATATACCTCTTTAGAGCTTCCTCATATTTTACATTAATTACTTTCATCTTTTCATTTTTCAACACATTTAAAGGGCCATATGGGTAATATCTTTGTAATTATGTAGTCTTATAACATGAATACTGTGTATTTCTAAATACCTTTGCTCTCTTGGTCAAGATTTCGTTAAAGAAAGAGCTTTAATTTCTTTCTTTTTCTCCATTTACTAAAATATCCTTCAATTTCACCAAGATCTATTTCTTTTGAATAATTTCAAATTACAGTATTAAGAATAAGTCTTCCGGTTCCTCTCAGGTCATTTTAACATATTTAATTCTGCAAAAGAATCTTTAAACTTAAAAAGGCTGTACAGTAATTAAACTCAATTACATTTCTCATTTAGTCTTTTGTGGTGTGTTTAGCATATAAGTTTGCTGAGGAAATTAAAAATTATTAGATAATTAAGTTTCCCCATTTAAACCAGTGAGATGACTTTGGATCTCAGTAGCCTGTTAACAAACTTTCCCTATTGTATAAAAACAAATGCAATATTCCCATAAAAAAAATAGAATTAGAAACCACCAAGATGCACAACTATTCATGCATAAATCTTTGTGTGTGTATGTACCTATATACACACTCTTAAAAACATTTCTTAACACTTACTAAAAAAGAAGAAAGTAGTACACTATTTACTGAAACATAAGGAAGACCGGAAAAAAGCTTTTGTGGAATATTTTACAACCATAAAAAACTATTAATTTTTTTATGATTTTACAGAACTATTAGAAAAATCTGTCCAAACAGAAACTCACAGAATCACAGAATCGCAAGGGTTGGAAGGGACCTCGGGAGATCATCTAGTCCAACCCCCCCTCTGTACAATATTTTCAACATCTTCTACTTTTTTTTGCCAAAAAGGTCTGCTCTGTGCACAATTTAGAGGTATAATAACACAACCTTATTTTCACTACAGAAACCTTTTAAAAACATAAATACAATTATCTTTTGAGTTAGCAAATATGCTAGTACCAAGCAAGTACTTTGTGAAAATAATTTTTTTTTTTATGAAAAAATCTTGTCACTGTGTTACAATTAATGCTTTTACAAGTAAAGTTGTCATTTAACATTTTTAAACACACCAAGAAGCCCAATAACCAGTGCTATTCTATACAGATAAAAATCATGGGTGGTGTGGTATTACAGCAGGTGTAGTGTGTTTGTAGTACACCTGAGAGAATAAACTTTTCCAGGTTCCTTACTTCCTCAGAATTTAACTTCATGAGGACAGAAGCAAGACAGAAGCTCAAGGTTGCCATTTGGAATCTCTATAAATATAAACACAGGGAAATGTTATGCTTCTAGACTATGCCCTCAGCAGTGCTGAGACCAATCTGCCAGCTGTGAACAGAAGTGAAGGGCCCTGTCGGAGCTGGAGTGCTTCCAGCTTGAACCACCCACCTTCCTCTTTCCACTTTGCTGGCCTCGCTCTGCTCCCTAATGGGCTGCTTCCCTGCTGAGCATACTCAGTTGCTCATGTAAGAGAGAGAATTTTCCTTCTTTCCAGACTGTCACACACATCCTGAAAATGAATTTATTGCTAACAGAGTGAAGAACCAGAAGATGTCTCAGCTTCAATCTGCAGCTCCAGGCTGCTCTGTCTAGAGTTCAAACACATGCCTGTGTCCATATTCTCAAAAGGACCTTGAACAATCGGAAGGGGTCATACAAGAGCAACAAAAATTGTTCAAATACTTAAGAGGTTGATCTCTTTGATTCTTCTCTAAGGAGAATGGAAAGTCAGTTGATTACATTGTAACATGCATTAAAGTGATCTTCAACATTGCAATTAGAAGAAAAACAAAAGAACAGAAATAATTCTATTAATAGAAATAGAAATAAAAATAGTAATAAGATTAAGCTGGATGACTTCAAATTAGATTTAAAACTCTTTATACAGTGCAGATGATCAATCATAGAAAGAACAAACTGAATGTGGAAGTTGGTTTGATTCAAATAATTTTGAGACATTTTTCTTTTTCAAAACTAAATGTCACTGAACTTGATGTGTCCGTGTGCCATGTTTGAGTTTGATAAAAAGGGGACTTCTGAAATAAACTTTTTGTCATTCAAGGGCTTTCTCAATGGTGTTTGATCATAACATATCTGATTTTAGATATTTAGGGTTCCTTCTTACTCTTCTTAATCAGAACTGCACACAAGTATTTGAGTGTTGAATTCAGAGCCCTTAATCCTACCTAGTGACAAGACTCCAAGAAGGGATGAAAGTCATAACATGGACAGTGACCTCTTCTAAAGATACAGGAAAGCCCATGGGTGAGATGGCAAAAGGGTCATGGCTGCAGGCTACCTTCATTCAGATCTGTCAGCTAATTAATTCCCTGCTAATTTCATTTTGGTTTTGCTTTCAATGTAATTCTTTTAATCTGCACATCATTTCCTTCCTACTCTGTTTGATTCAAGAAAAGCCATGATGACTGAATATCTAGTAGGAAGAAGTGACAAAACCTAACTTCTAGGAGTTCTGAATACATGAGTAATTGATGGAGAATATACTTATTATAAAGTACTGGTTAATTTCTGCACTTATTTTTAATGGGGCAGGAAAGTTGAAGGGGGTTTGCATTTTGCCTAGGTATATTACTTTCAGTTTTAAATGGAAAATAAGTAATTAATAGAGGCTTGATTCTTAAATCCATGTACAGTCAAGTGCTTTGGACCATAGTCTTGGAATATAAGGACATAAGGAGAAAAGAAAAACTGAAAAGCCTTCTCAATAAAATACTTGTGATTTAATTATGATTTATTTTTTCTTTGAAATTTTGGCTCTCAAGCTAAGAAGTTTACAAGAAATGGAATATTGTTTAATGATCTGCAAAAAATAGCTGTACTGGCCAGAATACAATACCTTCTATAGCCATAAAACAAGGCAATTACATAAAGGATATCATTCACTGAGTTTCAAAAATGGAATAGCTGTCTATTATTAAAGGTGATACAAATTACAACAGTGAACTGAAGTACGAAATAAAAATCCTGTAATGACTGTGTCATGTTTTACAGACAACACTGCTGGGATTGAAACCAGGAGAAATGGTTACAGCAGGAGGCAGCAAGAGCTGTACTTTCTTCCAGTAGTGATAGAAGATAGCAGTTACCCTGTCCAGAGCAGCACAAACACAATGACTATCCGTGTGTGCAGATGTGATTCTGATGGCATCATCCTGTCCTGCAATGTGGAAGCAGTCTTCTTACCAGTAGGCCTCAGCACAGGAGCACTGATTGCAATCTTGTTGTGTATTGTTATACTTCTAGGTTAGTTATCATGAAACCATGTGAAGTGCATTACTCTGCTTATTCACCTGTGAATTAATTTGTGTTGTTATTAGCTTCATCTGTGGTTTAACAAAAACCACTGAAAATGTGTGGCAGTTTAGGAGAACTTTCATGCTTCTAAGTTTCTAGAAAAGCATCCCAAAGCACTGACAATTACCATGACCATGAATCTGCTAACACCTACATATTTCTTATTGCATGAAAAGAACCAGCTTTCAGTGGAATCCAAGCCATAATATTTTCTCTGAAACAGCTTTGTTTAAATACTTTCTTAAAGATTTAATATTTTTAAATTGTTACTAAGGTAGACAAGTCCTACCGACAGTAAGAGCAATATGGACTTAGTAAGGGCCTTTATTTAATTCTTCATGCCAACTTGACAAAAGGAGAAGAAACAAACGAGAGAGGAGAAAATAATTGTAATGTAGACCGTGACTAGCTAGATCCATGTAAAACTTTACAGGAACATTTTAATTTCAGGCAGACATGGATTCCATTAAGGTGGCATTGTCATTTAATCTACAATATATTTAAATATTGCCTTATTTACTGCATGCCCAAAGCAGTCCATGCTCATGTGCACCCTGCTTATAATATAGCCTTAGTGAACTGATAACGAAATACAACCAACTTTGTAGCTTGCACAGGCACAATGTGAGCTGCAGAAAGCGGACTGATTCTTACAGTTGCTAGCCTATGTCTCCTCTTCACACTAGTGGGTTTCCTAGATCTCATGCTTATGTAGGTCTAATGCATAGACAAAAATAGCTGCTGACAGAGAATATAACATATAGATACCTCTTTGCATTTGGATAATATAATAATTTACCACTTAATTAAATTACTACAGGCTCAGGGTTACATAAATAGCTTCTGACGAGCAGTGGGTAAAAGTCAGAATATCTGCCCTATGTAAAAATTTCATGTTGTGAGAAAAATGTTTTTCAAATCAGAACCATAATGGCAAACATTCAGACTCCCCATGGAATAGGAATTAATGACAAATACACCTATTCTGAATAATTTAAAAAAACCAAAACAACAGGTCAGTTTTTTGGAAGCAAGAAGAATGCTGTCTCCTTTATCACAGTTCCTTAGGGCTACTTTTTTACTTCTAGTGGTTACCTGGGTAAAAGCAGCCTCAGCATCAAAGAAATTCCATTATGAAAAAAGCTTTAGCTTATTTCCACATGAAGAGAGAAGTCAATTAGAGCTCTGTCTTTAGGTAGGACTCCCAGGGATATCTAACCTCTCTGTTACAGAGCAAAGTGCCTAGAGGCCCTAAACACGTACTGTAGCACAGCCTTTCAAGTTGCCACCTTTGTGACCAGTAATCTGGGCAGTGTGAAGTACACAGCAGAGAGCTTGGTGCTCTTGGTACAAAGATCACGTACAATGTCAGAGTATCTGGGTAAGCGGGAATATCTGAAGTCTCAATTTCCCCCAAAATCTGCTAGGTGATCATGGAAGCCTTCAATAGAACTTTGGTTTTGTTTCCCTAAAGGTTTGTTGAAATAAATACAATTTTTTATTTAAATAAACCAGCATTTTCAATCAAAAATAATTATGTCAAAGAAGTCCTTACCAGATCTGCTGCTGATTGATGCTCTTGGCATATACAAAACTAATGAAGTTATTTTAATTCATGGTTTGCACAGAATGGCAGACTGAATTATTGAGATTATGTTTGGAAAAGAGGTTTTGGTCCTTTAATAACTCCTTTCATTCTAATCAGCCTGGCAATATTACCCAGAAAAACTAATGTATAAATAATGAGATCTCCAGTGCTGTGTGTAACCTAAGAGAATGGTGTTTCTCTTATATCCAGACTTATATCCTTACTATTCTATTGATCAATTTAAAAGCTGCTTTTGGATTTTTATTTCTTGCTGTGAACCTGGCCTGACACAGAGTCATTAAAATTGTAGTTGAAGTCATTCTTGTTGATCTCATTTCTATGTAAAAGGCAGTCAACATATTACCAGAATCAGGAGTTAGTTTAAGCCACACAAGCCTGACCATGGATTTATAATCATTGCAACTCCTGTATTCATCATTGTATTACTTCAACAACAGCACTTAGAACACTGCCATTTCTACCAAAGGCAGTTAGGGATTTCAAAATAACCAAAAGGCTAGTTTACTACAAGCAGATTTAACATGAAATAGCAGATTTTCCCTTGAAATATATCTCCAAAGACAAACTATTGAAAAAAACCCCCACAAGCTGATTGCCATTGAGTTTCCATTTGGAATAAAACCAGTTTGTAATGTTTTATATTACATAGAATCACAAAACCACAGTTGGAAGACACATCTGGAGATCATCTAGTCCAACTTCCCTGCTTACAGCAGGGTCAGTTAGAGCAGGTTGCTCAGGGGTAAATCCAGCTGGGTTTTGAATATCTCCAAGGATGGATACACCACAACTTCCCTGGGCAATGTGATGCAATGCTTGACCATTCTGACATTAAAGAAGCTTTTTTCTTATGCTTTAATGGAATTTCCTACATTTCCATTTGTGCCCATTGCCTCTTGTCCTGTCACTGGGCACCACTGAGAAAAACCTGGCTCCATCTTCTTTACTTTCATCCATCAGGTATGCATACACATTGATAAGGTCCCCCTGAGAATTCTCCAAGTTTAATAGTCTCAGCTCTCTCATCCTCTCCTCATACAGCAGATATTCCAGTCCCTTAATCATCTTTGTGGCTCTGCACTGGACTCACTCCAGGAAATCCATGTCTGTCTTGTACAGAGGAGCCCAGAACTGCACCCAGAACTCCATGTGTGTCTGACCAGGGCTGAATAGAGGGGAATGATCACCTCCCCAGGCCTGCTAATAGCACTTTTCCTAATGCAGGCCCAAATGCTGTTAGCATTCTTTGCCACAAGGGCATGTGGCTGGCTCATGGTGAACTTCTTGTGCACCAGGACCCTAAGTTCTTCTCTATCAAGTTGCTTTCCAGCCAGTCAGTGAACTGTATCTACAGTATATGGTTATTTCTGTCCATGTGCAGGACTTGGCTTTTCCCCTTTGTTGAATCTCATAGGGTTCCTTTTGGCCCATTCCCTCAGCCTGGTGAGGTCCCTTTGAATGGTGGCACAACCCCTGTTTTGTATCACCTGCAAACTTACTGAGGGTGCACTTAATCCCATGACCCAGGTTGTTTATGAAGATGTTAAACAAAACTGGTCCCAGTATCGACCCCAGGGGTACATCATTAGTGACTGGCCTCCCTCTGGTCTTTGGGCTGTTGATCACAACCCTTACAGCCTACCAGTTTGGCCAGCTTTGCAATCCACCTCACCATCTACTTGTCTGGTCCACACTTCTTCAGTTTTTCTGAGCAGGTTGTTATGAGAGGCAGCATTAAAAGCTTTGCTAAAGTTAGGATAAAAATAATGCACTTTTCTCCCTTCATCCACCAGTCACATCATCGTAGAAGGCTATCAAGTGAATAAGCACAATTTCACCTTTGTAAATCCATGCTGACTACTCCTGGTTCCCTTCCTGTTCTTCATAGGTTTGAAAAGGGTTTCCAGAATTATTCGCTCCATCACTTTCCTCGGGATTGAGGTGAGGTTGACTGGCCTGTAGTTCCCTAGCTCATTTTTCTTGCCTTCCTTGAAGATAGGAGTGACAGTTGCTTCAGTCCTCAGAAACATCTCCCAGTTCCCAGGACCTTTAAAAATTATTGCAGGTGGCCTCACAATGACATCAGGTCCCATGTCCTTGTGTGTGTCCAGTTTGTTTAAGTGTTTCCTAACCTGACCCTCCTCCACCAAGGATAAGTCTTTCTTGTTCCAGACTTTCCCTCTAGTCTCAGGGACCTGGGATTCCTGAAGGACAACCTTACCAATGAAGACTGAGGCAAAGCCGCCAGTGAGTAGGTTGGCCTCTTCTGTGTCCTTTGTCAACAGGTCCCCTGCCCAATTCAGCAGCGGGCCCACATTTTCCCTACTTTTTCTTTTGCTGCTGTTGTACTTTTACAAGCCCTTCTTGTTGTCATTCATGTCCCTCACAAGATTCAATGCCAGACAGCCTATGACTTTCCTAACCATATCCCTGGATGTTCCAACAGTCGCTGTATATTCCTTCTGGCTCACCTGTCTGTGTTTTCACATCTTATATGCCTCATTTTTTTGTGTGAGTTTAGTCACGAGCTCCTTATTCATCCATGCAGGCCTCCTGCTGCCTTTGCTTGATTTCCTGCTCGTCAGGTTGGAGCACTGTTGACCTTGGAGAAGGAGGTGACACTTAAAAATCAACCAGCTTTTCTGGACCCCCAGAACCATATCACATGAGATTTTTCAAAGCAGATCCCTGAAGAGTCCAAAGTGCACTGTATAAAAAGCTGAAGTAGGATTGTTTTTTTCTCCATTTCAAAGATTACAATTTTTTTTTTCTATTTAATACTGTGAGGTTTTTTTCTCTGCAGTGTGGAAATTTAGAGATTTTTCTCTATTTTGCTATGGAAGACATTTAAAAAAAATTATTCCATCTCTCTATCTCTCCAAACTAAACAGCTGAAGTCCTGTCCAATTCTATTTGTTCACAAAACAGGCCAGCAGGAAAACTATTTATTACTTCCTTCAGCAGCACAGCAAGCACTAAGGAGTTAGACATCAAGCAGCAAATGACTTTTCATTGGCTAGAGCACTGCTATTTTTAAAAGAATAGTAGGAGCATATCTTCTAAGGAAAAAGTCTCTTTTATTGCTTGCAACTCTCAAAGGAAGATATAACAATATAGCATCAGAGCACCAAATTATTTCTGTGCATGTCTTAACTTCAGTTTTCTCTTGTTACAGTCATTGTGGTACTGTATGTAGCACTACGGAGGCAGAAGAAAAAGGATACCCTGATGACCTCTAAAGAAGACATCAGAGATAACGTTATCCATTATGATGATGAAGGAGGTGGAGAAGAGGACACCCAAGCTTTTGACATAGGTGCCCTGAGGAATCCCAAAGTGATTGAAGATAACAAAATACGCAGGGACATAAAACCAGACACCTTGCGTTTTCCACGTCAGAGACCACCAGTAGAAGATAACACAGACATAAGAGATTTCATTAATCAAAGGCTGCAGGAAAATGATGTAGATCCAACTGCACCCCCTTATGACTCCTTGGCAACCTATGCTTATGAAGGAAATGGATCTGTTGCAGAGTCTCTCAGCTCCATAGACTCCCTTACTACAGAGGCAGACCAGGATTATGACTATCTGAGTGACTGGGGACCTCGCTTTAAGATCTTGGCAGATATGTTTGGAGAAGAAGAAAGTTATAACCCTGACAAAGTCACTTAAGTACAACTACAACAGTGAAATAAAAAGAAAAGTAAATCAACAACAAATTTAAAAGATAAACCTAAGCTTTATAATAGGACAGGATTCCTTTGATCATAAAAGACAGCAACTGTTTCCAGCAAGTTACTACATTTATCGTACTGTCAGTTTTGGTTTGATCTGCGAAGGAAAGATAAATCCTGTAAAATACACAGTTTTTTGTTGTTATTTTGTTACTCTGGAATTACACTGAGACAAGCTCAGGCCTACAAAGTACAGTTTACTGCCCTGACTTTTAGAAAGAAGATAGCTTTCTGGCATCACAGTGGAAGAGTGGTAGCTTTTTCGTAATTCCACTAAAGTGCCTATTGAAACTTTTATCATTTAAGTGGTAAAGAGTCTGCTGTGATGGTGTAACAAAACTGAACGGTAAATTGGACAAGAACTTTAGGACAAGAAGCAATAGCAACATGCTGACTTCTTTTAGAACAAAAATGGAGATCGCTTCCTGGAGTATATCTAATGACTAAAACTAAGGGGGGAGGCAGGTGGGGGGGTGTATGTTGTGTTTGGGGGTTATGTTTGGGTTTTTAAAAGAAGAAAACAGTATGTCAAGACATCACATTTCTTCTTCCAAAATTTCACTGAAAATTTAAATTTTAAATGCTATTGCTCACTCTGAAGATGTAAAGCCCAAATTAAAAAGTAAAAGATCTTAGCATACATCAATGAATATTTAAAATGTTCATGCAAATATTACATTTTTCCAAAATAATAAAAAGATGAAAGCAGCTATTCCTTTATGTGAAGGAAATTTCCCTTGGTTCCCCCTCTTCTTTTGAAATGACACTATTATTAAAACATAAAATGGAGAGGGTTTTTTAAGAGCATTATTGTATTTTTAGTGCCAAGAGATTTTTTTTTCCTTTGTAAGTATCTCTAAAGAATTATACGTAAAGAACTGCACATCACTTTTCTTTGAAATCAGATTTTTACTCTGCAGGTACTATAGCCATACATATTATAGTTATTTTTCAAATGACCATCTGCTACAGTTCAGCACATCATTGTATTTCACTGTCAGATTCACATCAAACATTTTAAAAAGACTTTTCAGGATGGAAATTTATTAATTTTGTCCTTGCCAAAATATTAGCAGAGGCGGAATAAAAATGTAAACAGTATGTTTGCCCACACTTTATGTACATACCCATGCATAAATGTAGGTGTGCAGGTAACAGAAGTACAGATATGTGTAAGGCATTATGCCAAGGAAGATCTCCTGTAAAACTGTTTCATCTGACTTTTTCTGATGATCTAAGACATAGACATTTTGTAAGACAACAGTTTATGGCCCTCAAAGTGCATATATCCTTATATTCTCCTTCTAAAATCTCTGCAGTGCTATACAATCTACTTGAGCTCTACTCATGATTAATGGCACTTGCAAGGCCAGCCCAAGTCTTTCATGAATCAGAAGTCTTTAATTCACCTCAGGTCTACAGCTTACTTTTTGTACCACTGAAGAATTAATAACTGTCAGATATAGTTAGCACACAAGCCTGATATTAACATACACATAGTTCCCTTTACTCTCTTGGGGAAATATAAAGGTATTTCAAAGTTGCATAAGTTAATCTCCCAGTGAGACTTAAAAAGTGCATATTTTAAGTAAGTTTGGGATCATTCAGTACAATTGGACAGGGCTGCCTTAAAAGCATGATTGGCATAGCTTCTAACAGCATAGTGTTGAGGAAGAGACACAGTGTATGGTAAGAAGAAAAGTGTGGGGTTTCTCATTATCAGTAAAGGTATCCTACGCTCCCTTGAAAGACAAACTAAGCCAATAAAAGCTCTCTTCTCACAGGGCAGGAAAGCAGATGAAGTGGTAGGGCCCATTTACCAGCATAGCAATTTTTGTGTGGAAGGTGATGATTTTGATTTTTACACATCTTGAGAGCATAGCAAAGGCAACTTGATACTGCAAAGTGGACCTAAAACAGAGCTCTGAAAAAAAAAAAAAAAGTGTATGTATATATATATATTTGCTACTAGTTACAACACAGGTTTAATTCATACAAAATTCACACTTGTGGAGGTACTTAGCAATGCTTCCTCATGTAGTATACGCATAGCAATGCTTCCTACCCTGTTGCCACAGCTAAAATAAACATCTAACACTGCTCATTTACAGATGTGCAATCCTGTAGCCAAACTCTGCTCTTAGTAACTGTATTAGTCCTTTACATGTGTTTCACTAGTAAAGTCAACTTGAGAGAGAGAGAGAGCAGTGTTTGACTTTTTGACATCATGTGGCATGATTGCTCCTGGGAAAGTTGTATTTGTAGCGGATACTGGGTGAACATTAGGTGTCCTGAGTAGGTTGGCATTTGCTCTAAGCAGAACAGTCTGTATGGGAGCCTGACTTCCAAAATGGGTAGACAGAAAATGTGGTCTTAAACACGCTGCTACACACAATCCATATTTGAGACTGAGTTGTATGTTAAATTAATACCAAATTGAATAACGAATGCATATTTTTGACATTTAAGAGGTTTGTAACTGAGATGTTTCTATCCCATAATTAATAAAACTCCAGGAAGATTTTAAAAAAAAAAGGTATGTCATTACAAATGCAATTGTCCTATAAAATCATAATTAAAAGCTTTTAATACCTTTTTTTAAAGAGTGATCAAACAATTTTAACTTTGCAAACAGCTCTATAGAACTAAAGAAAGGAATTGTTTTTATTTTATGCATAACCTAAGATCCAGGAAATTTGTGTTTAATTCCATGTTCTCTCACTCTCTTTCTAAAACATGCTTGTCAGGTTTTTAGCACCTTATTTTTGGAAAGGTAATTAGACAAATATGAAATTTACAAGATTTAAAATATTGCAAGGCATCTCAGACGATATGAAGTCAATGGGATTAAGGAACCTCAGTGCATTTGAAAATTGTATCACATAACTACTTTGGTTTCTAAGCACTATATCTTAAAAAAACCTCTACAAACCCTGGCACAATCAAGATGTTAAAGTGGATGTCTCTCCTTTGACTATGGAAAGAGCCATATAACTCAAATTATATCAGAGTGACAGGAAGCTAAGACAATGCTTAAAGGACACAGAAGGGACAGAATTGAGAGAAATATTTTTGTTTAAACTTCCAAATGTAAGATACCATTGCACAAACATCTAGCATCATCTTAAATGTCTCAACAGTGCAAATCACAAGACATTCTGTAAAACATCTTCTGCACACAAAGGCATTGAGACACTTCACTGGCACAAAAAAAATCCACATGTTAAGTTAAATAGTTAGGACATGGACTACTGGTGCTGGAATAAATATCTATGAATGCAAAACATTCAACTAATAAGGGACATATTGAAGGAAATCTAGCTGATAAGCTTACATTGTGGACATACAAAACTGAAGATAAATTTGAACACTAGAACAAGAACATTTGAAAGGAATTTCAGGGAAGAAGGAAAAGGTCTTCCCTGCCCTCCCAAGAAAGCTAAAAATGCCACTACTTAGACCTGACAATTTCTCTGTCGAATCAGGTCATAAATGATTGCTAATATTTGGGTTTAAGAATGCTACCACACAAATCGGAAAATGCTGTTATTCTTGAAACACAGATATGCAATATTGTCAGTGAGTCAAATAGCAAGTATCTGGAAAGCAATGACATTAGATAATGTCTCTTGCACAAAGATGTGTTTGAATATTATATACTTTCAAATTTTTACTTATTTTATAAATTTGCTCTAAATTTTGCTGTTCAAAATAAAATCACAGTTATTGAGGATTTACTCTAGGTTATGGAAGCAGAATTCATTATGGAGCAAAGAGCAATAAGTGACTCAACAGATTACTGGCAATATTGTTCTACAGACTAACTTGAAAATATTCTTGCCTTAAGAATAAGATGTCCATATATCCACATAGATAGAACTGATCCTTCACCATAGTAAAAAATGTGGCTTTGCAGATGCTTTATTCATTTTAGATTTACCTCCATTATTGTTATGAAAGAGTTCTTAAGACTGTGTTGCTATGAAATAACAAAACTCTATTAAATGAACACAGGAAGAAAACACAATAATCCACTGGGTTACAGGCATTTCATATGACATTAGTGAGTGGATTTTACTTGCTGAGATTGGGGTTGTAAATTCTTTGCATTTATTTTATTAATTTTATTATTATTATTAATACAGTAAAATCCTGTTTGTATAGAAATATTTTTGAGCTTTACAAACCTTCATGAAAACAAATAATGAAATAACCCCTAACAATAACCCTACTGAGGTGACATTTAAGTGTAAATTAAATCAAAGTTTATATTACACCCCTTCACAACCTTCTCTTAATGGCAAATCTATAATAACTGGATTCCTTTTCTCTTCTTATTTAAATCAAGAACCAGGTAAGTTGTCAGAACACAAGCAACAGTTGCTATTTTGAGCAAAACTAAGATCAATTCCTGTTTGTTTGTTGTTGTTTTTTTTTTTTTAGTGGTCTATTTATTTAATTGATAAACTTCCTTTATTCAACTTTAGTTTGCAACTAAAATCCCCAGATAATTTTTTTCTATCTTAATTTCATTGCTGTGGTCCCGGCCAAAATAATTCTCAGGGCTCAGGGGGACCTTATCAATGTGTATGCATACCTGATGGATGAAAGTAAAGAAGATGGAGCCAGGTTTTTCTCAGTGGTGCCCAGTGACAGGACAAGAGGCAATGGGCACAAATGGAAATGTAGGAAATTCCATTAAAGCATAAGAAAAAAGCTTCTTTAATGTCAGAATGGTCAAGCATTGCATCACATTGCCCAGGGAAGTTGTGGTGTATCCATCCTTGGAGATATTCAAAACCCAGCTGGATTTACCCCTGAGCAACCTGCTCTAACTGACCCTGCTGTAAGCAGGGAAATTGGACTAGATGATCTCCAGATGTGTCTTCCAACCTCAGATATTCTGTGACTTATGCTAAAACCATCCTACATACTTAG